CGGAAATTGAACTCACAACCTTGTGCTTGCCAGGCAGGTGCTGTGCCACTGAGCAAAATCCCCAGCCCCTCTGTATTGATTTTGTATACTGCTACATTACTAAAGTTGGTTATTAATTCTAAGTGTTTTTAGTGGAATTATTTGAGATTTTATGTAGAGTATCATGTCACCTGCAAATAATAATTTGAGTTTTCTTTCCCTTATGTATTCCTTTTCTTTCTCTTGCCTGATTGTTTTGACTAATATTTCAAGTACTATGTTGAATAAAAGTGGGAATAGTGGTCATGTTTGTCTTTTTCTTCATTTTAGAGGGAATCCTTTTAGATTTCCTCCACTTAATATATTGGCTGTTGGTTGTCATAAATAGCTTTTACCAAATTCAGGTATGGTTCTTCTAAACCTATTTTCTCCAGTGTTCCTATCATGAAGGGGTGTTGAATTTTGTGGAAAGCCTTTTCTGTATCTATTCATATGATCATGTTGGGGAGTTACCTTGCTTTGGCTTATACAATTTATTAATTTATTGACTTCTGTATATTGGACCATCCTTGCATCTCTTGGATGGAAAATACTTGGTCATAGTGTTTGATTTTTTTGATGGTATGCTGCTTTCTACTCACTAACATATTGTTGAGGATTTTTGCAACTGTGTTCATTAAAGAGATTGGTCTGTAGTTTTCTTTTTTAGTTGGGTCTCTGGTTTTGGAATCAGACTGATGCTGGCCTTCATAAATGAACTCGGAAGCATTCTATCCTTTCATTTTCTCTGAAGAGCTTGAGGAGTATAGGTGATATAACATCATTAAAGGTTTTGTAGAATTCAGCTGTGAATTAAACAGGTCCTGTGCTGTTTTTAATTGGTAGTTACTGTCTCAATTTCATTATTGTTATAGGGTTATTCAGCATATTTGTCTTCTTGGGTTAGTGTTATGGTTTGTGTCTCAGTGTCCCCCCAAAGCCCCACATAGTCATGGGGCAGGCTTCTGGAGTTTATGATTGATCTATTGTCCAGTGTTGGAATTATGGATGTGAGTGCTACACCCTCTCTGGGGCGGATAGTTTGCATACAGTGTAAGGCAGGGAAAGAGGCTGCTTGCCACCACACCTCCCTTTCTGCTCTTGTTGCTTTTCCTGTCTTCCACCACCATGAACGTTTGCCCTCTGCCATGTGCCACTCTGCCTTGGAGCCAGCCAAGTATGGACTGAAACCTCCACAAACTGTAAGCTAAATAAACCTTTACTTCCTTAATTTTGGGTGTCAGGTATTTTGTCTCAGCAGTGAAAGAAAAAGTAACTGAGACAGTTAGTTTGGTAACCTGTATAAGTCTAGAAATTTGTCCATCTCTTCAAATTTTCCAATTTGTTGAAAGGCAATTTTCATAGTGGTTGTAGTGGTTGATTGATTATGTCAACTTGAGAAGTTTAGAAGCATAACTAAACTTGGCTCAGCAATTCTACACTCTAGGGTGTAGAGGAGCCACCCTAGGGTGGATCATCACCTAGATAATATAAAAGGGAAATGAAGGACAGAGGAACTTCCACTCCTTTTGGAGGAGCTCCAGTCTTCACCTTCAACTTGGACTTCATCTCCTGGCTTCTAGTGCAGACTCTTCGGCTTCCACCCTGGATCCTTTAGCCTTCCATCACACTCATCGGCCTCCTGATATGGACTTGCACAAAACTCTGCAGTGAACTCCAGACCCTGGACTGATTCCTTCAGTCTTCAGTGTGCAGACACCCTCTACATGCTTCCTCATACAACTCTATGGCTGACCGTCGTAAGCCAATCTTGTAATTTCTTATAATTTGTACATCTTGTGTTGTATCTGTTTCTCCAGGGAAACCCTGACTGATACAGTAGTTATCTTCTGGATTTCAATTGTCTGTTCTGATTTTGCCTTTTTCATTTCTAATTGTTTTGATGTAAGTCTTTTCTGTTTTTCTCTTGGTAAGTTTGGCTAAGAGTTTTTCTATTTTGTTTATTCTTTCAAAGGACCAGCTCTTCAATTCATAGTTCTTTGTGAATTCTATTGCCTTTTCAGTCTTGATTCCACTGACTTTCACTCTAATCTTTAGGATTTCACTTCTTAATTTTGGTATGAGCCTGGATTGTTGTTGTTTCCTATGTATCTTAATGTTCCTCATAGAATTATTTATTTGAGCTTACTCTGCTTCCATAATGTGAGCACTGATTGCGTGAACGTCCCTCTTAGAAACACTTTCATATTGTTGTGGAGGTTCCAGGGAATTATATAGGCATTATAATTAACTTCCAGTATCTTTTACTTTATTGAGTTTGTCTGTAACCCATTGGGTGTTTAAAAGTGTGTTACTAATTTTCCAGGTTACTACATTTTCCATTTCTTCTGTCAGTGATTTGTATGTCCATTGTACAGTGGTCTAATAGTACACATGGGGTGATTTTGATTTTTTACATTTATTTAAGCAGGCTTTGTGGACTAGTATGTGACCTATTTTGGAGAAACTACTGTGTGCTGCAGAAAAGAATGACAATTACTCTGTTGTAGTGGGGTGGAATATTTTGCAGATATTTATTAAGCTGATATGTTCAAGAGTGGATCAGCTGTGATACAGTATTTCCTTATTGACTTCAGTTGATCTCTTTGTGAAAGTGAGGTGTTAAGATCCCCCCACTATGATCATTTTCATGTTTATTTGATCTTTTCTGTTCCACGGTACTTATTTTATGGAAATAGGTGCTCCAGTATTCAGTACATATTTCTAAGCATTACCTCTTCTTGTTGGACTGTGCCCTTAACTAAGCACATAGTGACCTTTGTCTCTTCTGATCAGTTTCATCTTGAAGTTTACTATGTGTGTGATTTAAAATTACTACCCTTACTTGTTTTTAGGGTCCTGGTGCTTGATATAACTGATTTCCATCCTTTGATATTTAGTCTATGAATATTTTTTTGAATTAGATGAGTTTCTGGAATGCAACAGACTGTTGGATTCTGGGTTGGTTTTTTTGATCCAGTATACCAATCTGTGTCTTTTAATTGGAGAGTTGAGACATTGAGAGATCTTACTGAAATGTTATTTACTATCATTGTGCTATTTCTGTGTTGGTGACTCCTATTTCTTTTCCTGCAATTTTTTCTAATCCACTGACTTTACTACTTTCATCTGGGCCTTTAGCTTTATTGGTTTCATCATTTCTGTCTAGGATATTTCTGAGTATTTCCTGGATTGCTGGTTTAGTATTCATGTATCTTTTGAGTTGGTATTTTTCATGAAATGTCCTTGTATCTCCATCTACTTAAAAGAAAAGCTTTGCTGGATATTAATCTATGTTGGAAGTTATTTGCTGTTACACCTTCAAATACTTTACTCCAAACTCTTCCACCCTTTAAGACTTGTGCTTTGAAGTCTACTGTAATTCTAATGGGATGAACTTTATATGTGATTTTTTCTTTTTCTCTGCTTTTAAAATTCAGGGTTTTTGTTGGATATCTGAAAATTTCATAAAGATATGCGTTGGTGAGCTTCTTTTTTCAAAATAGTTGTTTGGCGTTCTGGAAGCCTTGTTTACTTGTACACTGAATTCTCTTATTTGGGAAATTTTCTGTGACTTGTATAAACATATAAATAATTCAAACTGTGTTATCTTCTAGCTTTTCTCTAACTCCAATTAGCCTTAGGTTGATCTTAGTGTCATCTAGTAGCTGCTGGATGGTCTTTCCTTATTCTCTAATTTTTTTATTTTTGTGGCTTCAGTACTTCATGTTCTGCTTTTGACCTTAAGTCAAATACTGCCTTCACATTGATCATTTGTGAAATTTATGGATGCTATACATTTTTTATTTCAGTTATTTCTGATATCTTTTTGAGGATTCCATATATTTGGTGAATTTGTCATTCATGTTTTAAACTGTTTTCATCACCTCTTTCAATTTTTTATTTCCCCCAAATCACTGGAGATTTGGGTGATAATTCTGTAAACTTTTGGTTCCTTTCCTCTCTGAACTCACCTAGTTTTCATCTCTTCTCTAATCTCTTCACAGAGTTCACTACTTGGTATTTGCTTTCCTCTCCATTTGTGCCCCCTTGATCTGCCTTAGGAGAGATGAAAAACCTTAAGGGTCTTGTTGCCTTGCTCTTCCATCATTCTGTCCCTGTGGTAGGGTAACACTTCAGTCCTGAAGCAAAGCTCTCCTGCTGGGTGGTCTCTTCTTAGATCAGGACAATCTGTTGTCACCTCTGTTGCCCTGTATTTTGGAAACACCAGGAATGCGGACAGCATCAGCTGGGGTGGGGCATGCACTCAGGGGGCAGAGCATGCAGTTCTAGGGCCCTCTTGGCTTAGCACACAGGTCCCAGGCATGGAATTTTTTTATTGTTCTATACTTAGGCCATGGAATATTGCCCAACTAAAAACAAGTAATGATAATGCAACTCAAACTTCACCAAATTTATATTAAATAGGAAAAAGACATAGGAGGTTTATGTATGGCTCCATTTCCGTGAACAGGAAAACCATATCTATCATGATGGAAGTCAGAAGAGTGGTAACCCTTGAGGATGAGGAGACAAGACTCTGCACTGATGGAAGTGTTTTATGTTTTGAGGGTGGCAATACATGGTGTAGACATAAAATTAATCAAGCTGTATAGTAACACTTAGGAACTTTTGTGTCATAACTCAATTAGAAGAATTTTAAGACACTAAAAAAGCCCCATTAAGACAGGGTTCAAAGCAGGATCAGAAAGAGCCAGACCTCAGACACCAACACCTCCCACATGGGTAATCTTCATTAACTCACCTTAATTTGGGCCTCAGATTCCTCATATGTGGATTGGAGCTGACAATACCTACCTCAAGGTATCACTGTGAGAACTAAAAGATGCAAAGCTTTGAGGAGTAGCTGGTATCTGTCAACAGTGAGCACTAAGTCTTAGCTGTCACTATGATGAATGGTTAAATATCCATCACTAAGGATAAATTTATAAGAATAAAAATAACAATTTGCTGGAAATGTATAAAATGTCAAAAAAGCTTATTTAATTCCACTGCTTCAAAATATGTCCACAAACTTAAAAACTGACAGAATTACACAGATTATTCAACAATCCACAATCTTGGTAAACAATAGAGATTATAAATGTGTAAATGGTTTTCTCAACACAAATAGCATGCTCAATGTAATGGCCGTGGGCAGAATACAATGATTTCAACCACTGATTAAGTGTTTATATAAATTGTCATGTACTAAGTGCACCAGTTAGGGATTGCATTAAGCTGAAATAAACCCACTCCCTTTCTCTCCAATCCTTTTAAGTCTTGAACCAGTAAACAGTGCTTTTTTTCCCCATGTAATAAGACTCCAGAATAAATAACCCAGTGCTGGTGAACTCTCACAAAAACACTAACTCTATATATTTTTAACTTTGTTTTCTAAGATTAGGGAAGCAAGAAGGTTGAGACTTCTGGCCACTCTCTCTTTAGCCTGTGGCTTTTACCCCGATGGTCATAGGATGGCTCCTCTAGTTTTGGACATCATGCCTGCTTGAAGCAAGAAGTGGAGATATCTAGCCAAATTAAATCACACCCATGCAATGTCTTTTTCCAGAATCATTCCTAGTATCTTCTAATACTTATACCATCCAGGACTGGACAACACAGCCTCCTAACAGGGAGATAGAGGATTTTTAATAGTGCACATTATCAAGGTGAACAACAACAACAACAACGAAAAGGTTCTTTTGTAAGGAAGGGGCAATTTTGGTTGGCAACTAGCAGATCTGTCAACAAATACTTAAAATTCAGTAACATAAAAACTATATACTCTGCTCACTATGTAATTAAATTAGAAACCAAACATCAAAAAGGCAATTAAGAAATCACTATATAACATGCAGGAACTTTCACATTCTAAGCCTAGAATATGGTGTTGGTTACCCACAAATATGTATCTATTAAATGCATCCAACTACAGTTATGATTTATGCATTTTGCTATAATTATATCTCTATGAAAATATAACTGTGTACTGGTATTTAATTCCAAAAAGGTCATGGGTGGAAGAACAATAAATAATGGAAATAAAGACAATATGAGAATTAAACCAGAATAAAAATATATAGTCATCCCTCAGTATCTACAGGGATGTGTTTCAGCACCCCCTGATACCAAAATCCAAAGATGCTCTAGTCCCTTACATGAACTGGTGCAATGCTTATATATAATCTATGCATATCTTCCCATCTCTGGATGACTAGTACCTAATATAGTGTACATGCTGTGTAAATAGTTGTTATGCTGTATTGTTTAGGGAATTATGACAAGAATAAATGTATATACAATATTCAGTACAGATGCAACTCTGTCTTGCTATTTTCAATGTGCAACTGGTTGAATCCACAGATGCAGAACCTGCAGATCCCTGGGACAGACTGTACATGGAAACATGAGACACCAGTAAAAAAGTATCATAAGAGACAAGGGTAGCCCAAAATGTTTATATTTTTACAAAACAGGGTATCAACTGCCAAGGAACCCACTGTAGGTCTGAGACATTGACAAGGGCAGGCCACCTTGCCTGGTGCTGTCTTGCCCATTGTGAATCCTCTTGTGCACAGTGAGTGATGAGCTGTGCCTGAAGGCTTTCTCACACTGATTACATGGGTAGGGTCTCCCTACCATGTGGGTTCTCATATGCACTATGAGGTGTGAAGACTGCCCAAAGGCCCGCCCACATTCTTGGCAGGTATATGGCTTCTTCCCCGTGTGAGTTCTTGCATGTTTCCTGAGGGATGAGGGCTCACTGAAGGCCCGCCCACATTCCTGGCAGGTGTAGGGCTTCTCCCCAGTGTGAGTTCGCATGTGACTCTTCAGGGTGGAGAGGCGACTCAAGACCTGCCCACAGGTCCCACACTCATACAGCTTCTCCCCAGTGTGGATCCTCTTGTGCACATTTAGGTGTGTACTAGTGCGGAAGGGTTTCCCACACTGGTTGCACTTGTAGGGCTTCTCCCTTGTATGGGTGCGCAGGTGTGTCTTAAGCGATGAGTGCTCCCTGAATGCTTTCCCACAGTGGCTGCATTCGAAGGGCTTCTCTCCAGTGTGTGTTCGCATGTGGCTCCTGAGAGATGATGGCTGATTGAATGCTTTCCCACAGTCCTTACACACACAGGGCTTCTCTCCCGTATGATTCCTCTGATGCAAAACCAGGTTGAAATTCCTGGTGAAGGTTTTCCCACACTGGCCACATTCAAAGGGCTTCTCTCCAGTGTGGGTCCTCAGGTGCCGCCGCAGGTTGGAGGAATACTTAAAGGCTTGTCGGCACTCCTGGCACTCAAAGAACTTCTCTGCAGTGTGAGTCTTCTCATGCCTCGTAAGGTCAGAGCTATAGCGAAAGGACTTTTCACACTGGCTGCACACATAAGTTTTATCCACGCTGTGGATTTTTTCAGGTGTCATTACAGGGGCATCCTGGAAGAAGGATTTTCTGTTCTCCTGACTTTCATAGGGGGCCTCTCCAGCAAGAACTCGCTGGTACTGACAAAGTGGTTCTACACTGCTAAATGGTTTCTCTGAGTTGGTATATTTGTAGAGTTTTTCTCTATGCTGAGATGGCTCCTGTTGATTAAGGAGGATGGAAAGACCAAAGGCTTTATTCAGAGAGATTCTTCCCATGTCAACTAAATACAGGGAAAACATTTCTTTATTTGAATCTTTTACCATTTCAGTGAGTCTATACTATATTGTTTCTACCCCAAATTCTCTTTACTAGAACAGGGTGGATTCTCTGCCAAAATGACTGCTCTTATCATTACTTTCATGGGGCTTCGTAGATGGAGACAATTTCTGCATTGTTTAAAGCCAAACTAAACTTTAAATGCTTGATGCCAAGGCTAACCTGTGAAAATGAGTACTTTGGGGAATTCTGTGAAGACATATCTCCTTTTGTTTTCAGTGCTGGGGGTGGAACCCAATGCCTTGTGCATACTAGGCAAGTGCTCTGCCACTGAACTACACTGTAGCCCCAAGACACAAGACATGTAGCACTTGATCTACATTTAGAGTTTTCTATCAATTCATAACATTCACAGACTGTCTCTTAAGAATGCACTTTCTCCTGAGTAAGCACCATTTGCAAGAAATACCTCTTGGCTCCTGTGTAGTTCTTCTAACCTACAGCACCTTCAGACACTTCCTACCATAGTGGAATGAGAGTAATCTTGTGAGTATTGTGAATCTTACCTTTTTCCTGCCAATGGACAGAACATCTGCAAAAATATCTTGGCTTGGAATTGACTCTTGGAGTTGAAGCTGTGGCTCTAAAATGAATTAGGGGATAAAAGGATTAAAGGCACAGAGAATTATATGATCAAGGTGATCAAAAAATGTAAGCAAGGCACGTGTGAATATTTTTGAAGTACTGATCACAAATATAGGAAGAAACTGCAAAGACAAGAGTAAAACAGAATTGTAAGGCTTTAGACTGAGAGAGGCACTCTATAATAATAAAAATAAGAAAGGAAAATCATGGTAAACAACTTGCTGAGAAAGGATTCTATGAAGATTGGGACTGATGTGGAAGGGAAATATTAGCAAGAATGCACAGTGGGAGGAGCTACATAAAGCATACATATGGAAATACTTAAAAGGAAGACAGAGGAGGTAAGTACTTCTATGGAGTCACAGGAAACTATTACAGATAAGAAAGAGGAAAGAAGATGCAATTTACTAAAGGAGCTCAACCAAACAGCCTTCTTGTTCAAGGGCCCTGAATATATCGCTATCAACAGTTTTTAAATCTGTGTCTCCTCTTTTCAACCACAGCTAGTGCTTGCCTGGTCCTCCTAGTGCTCACCTGAGAAGATTCCTCTCTTGATGGTCCACAGCTCTTCTCTTTGCTCCAAATACGATACTGTGCTGGTTTTGCATAGTGGACCTGCTCACAGAGAAAAGAGAGACAAATGGGCTGCTAATACCCAGCCATGACCACTATTCTCAAGTCTTCAGGGGCTCCGGAAATGGGAACAGCTGCCTAAATTTTGATGGACACAGCAAAGGTCTTTCACTTAAGAACTTCACTGGGACACAGAGGATACCAAGCTATCTGGTCCCCAGAACCCAGGGTCTGGCTCAGAGTCACTCTTGAGAAGCCCAGAATCCTGGAGAATCCTGGAGAAACAGAGCTGTGGACACACCTTCGTATCCATGGGGAGGCCACTGGACTGTACATGTCATGGGGCTGGACTCATCTCCACCTCTTGATTTTTGCACACCCACACAGTTCCTGGAATCCGCAGCAGTCTCCTGAGTGTGTGAAGGAAGCAATGAGGTGAGCCTTACCTACGGAGGCCAGGTTCCTGTAGTTTTCCAGCATCACATCTCTGTACAGACTTCTCTGAGCAGAGTCCAAAAACACCCATTCTTCTGGACTAAACACCACAGCCACATCCGCAAAGGTGACTGGTTCCTAAAATACACACCCATCCTGGTTTAGCCAGTGACCACATCCCCCACCACAATGCAACAGTATGCTGGGGTTGGAAGGCCTGGGGAAGGAACACCCCACAAAGAGGGTTTTCAGAGGGGGATTTGCAGTCTCTTAAATCTGGCCTTGAACTGAAGCATCCCAATTTTATCTCTCAGGGGGTAGGCATAGCTCAGAGGCAGAGCACATGCTTAGCATAAACTAGGCCAGGGCTGGCAAACATGGCACGCATGCCACAGCTGGCTGTTTGTTATCATTGAAAGCTCTAAAAGGTTCACCATCACTGCACTAGGTCCTGCGTTCACGCATAAATAAGAATTAGGAATTTTCTCCTACTCACCACTCCCCAAATAAGAGGCTCTAACTCATGCTAAAAAACCTTTACTTCATGAAAGGATTTACCTACCTACAACTAGCCAACAAGCCCTTGCAGATATATCCTGCCTAGCTGTAGAGACCAGCAGACCTGAGCATGGTGCAGAGAAATATCTGGTAAATTAACTCTGCCTAATGAGACAAGGAAGCCCAGGAAGCAATGACAGCTTACATCCTTGCTCTGTCTTCCTTCTTGGCTCTCAGCAGCTTAAAGAGGGCCTGAATGAGAGGGTAGGATCCCTATTTGGGCTGCATGAGGTCCAGCTCTTGATAGGCTGGAGATCAGCCCTGTGTTTAGGATCAGGAAAGTCCAGGCAGGTCATATGAAGGGGCAAGTCCAACCTCTGGCACAGCAGTGCTCTTTAGGGGCTAAAAGGATCGCTTACTTACCCAGGAACAGGTAGTTGGCAACCCATGAGCCCTGGCTTCTTCCTCTATGTCATCCGCTTGGAGCCAGGTGGAGTCCTGAGCTGGCAGAGCTGAGGGAGATGAGATAAGACATGAGGATCAGTGCCTGGCCAAGTGAGCACACCCTGGCTTTGTGTGACCATGTATAACACACATCTACACACCCACAGGTGCACACACATGCACACAGAAACACAGATGCACATGCTTTTGCACACACATGTATGGACATACAGATCAGCATGCACATAAACTTGTAGACATATGCAGACACGCACATGGTCACACACGTGCGTGCACGCAACCCTTCCATTCTAAATGTAGGAGCCACGATCTCAATCACTAGCAGATGCTGAAGGTCCTGTGGCCCCACTCTCCCCCGCTTGACTCGGCTGCGGAACACCTCTTAGCTCCTCAGCCCCTTCACCAGCCCCCTATCTTAAGGGCTAACATAGCCCCACAACATGCCGCAAGTAAGGGACAGATAAACCACCACCCTGCAAAGTTTGCCGAGAAGCAGTGGTCCTTCCCACCTGCCATCAATACCAGCCCTCCTTCCACACTAGGCAGCCTTCCTCTGTCTGGCCCAAGATGGACAAGCAGGCAACTCTCTGGTCATCCTTGATCTCCCTGTACCCTTGCCTCTCTCTCCTGGTGGCAGTTTTCCCCCTAAGGCTGAGCCACATCAAGTGCCTGATACCATGTGTGAGTTTCCTAGGGATGATGTAATGAAGAACCACAGAAATGTTTTCTCTCACAGTTCTAGAGGCCTGGAGTCCAAGACCAAGGTGTCAACAGGGCCACGCTCCCACTGAGATTCTGGGTAGAATCCTTTCTTGCCTCATCTTAGCTTTCATCAGTGGCTGCAGACCCCTGGTGCTCCTTGGCTTAAGCTGCATCACTGCACCCTGCCACCATCACCACCTGAACTTCTGTGCCTTCACATGCCATCTACCCCCCTTAGAAGACCACCAGTCAGACCACCTTAGGGCTCACTCCCATGACCTCATCTGAACTTGCTTACATCTGACCTAGGAAATGTCTATCCTATGTCTGTCCTATCACTGTGTTTTAGAAGAAGATAACTATGTTCAGATTTTATGGGCTTATAAATGGTAAGGAACCACAACAAGCCATACTTTGAGCCCTACCTATACCTGATTTTTATGATTTACATAATAAGATCAGTGACTTTTTGAGTTGATATTTAAATGTGATTTTAGGACACAATGAAATAGGTTGAAACTTTGGGGATAATAAAAACATATGAATGTATTTTGCAAGTTGGAAGGACATAAATTTTGGAGGGGTCGTAGGGGCCAACTTCTGTGGACTGAATTGTGCCGAATAAGAAATCGTAATCCTCAGTACTTCAGAACATGACCTCATTGGGAGGTAGGGTTGCTGCAGATGTAACCAGTTATGAAGTCATCATGGGGCACGCTGCACCCTTAATGCACTATGACCAGTGCCCTCTAAGAAAAAGAGAAGAGCCACAGAGACAGACACAGAGGGGAGGCGGCCGTGTGACCATGCAGGTAGAGAGGAGAGATGCGTCCAGTGAATCCCAAGTGCTGCCAGCCAGCACCTGAAGTCAGAGTTAAGGATCCACTTAACTGCCCCTCCTGGAGGTCCCCTCTGCAGAAGGAAATGCCTGTCCTTTCTCTTCCCTAAAACGGCCCTCTCCTTTCTTACCAATTCGTAACCAGATGTGGCTTGGTGGGTGTTTATTTTCCATCACCCTCAGTGGGCTGCATGCTTTGTAAGAACCAGCCCTGTGCTTCTCCTTTCACCACCCTGTCCGTCACCCTGTGCTTGGCATATGTATGCTTTGTGTCATCTGGAAATGAATGAATACACGAACCACCAGTGGACCTCAACTCAAGCACCTATCCATGTCTTAAATCATTCCCTACTGTATAGAAAACAACAGGCTTGCATGGCAGGCTGGAATCTCCGTATGTCTGGGAGATTTGGAGAGGCCCCCACACCCCTGCCCCCACTGTAAAAGAGGTTAAACTTTGCTTATACTGCTCTTACAAACAGTGGGGTATACACTGAACTGCTTTGCTTCTGCGAGTCTGGAATTCACACGTGTGCTGCACAGGAGGTGCCCACGTGACCAGGCCCCAGTGGAAACTGTGGGTGCTAAGTATCTTGAATGAGTCTGCTGCTGCACAACTGGGCACAAAAATTATCACAGTTGGTGTTAGAGACATTAAGGGTGTCCCATGTGAAATTAAACATCCCCCAAAAGCTCATGTGTTGAAGGCTTGGTCCCCATCTGATCGTACTACGGGAGGTGGTAAGAACTTCAGAGGTGAGGCCCAGTGGGAGGAAGTTAGGTCACAGGGGCGTGCCCTTCCAGGGGCCTGAAGTCCCCTGGGCACCTCCTCTCTGTTCACCTGTTAGCCACCATGAAGTAAGCAGCTTTCCTCTGCCACAGCTTCCACCATGACGTACTGTCTCACCACGGCCCAGAGCAACAGGCCAAGTGGCTATGGACCAGAGCCACGAACCAAAATAAACATTTCCTTAAATCTAAGAATTACACACTGTCAGAAACATAATAGAGATTCTAAACACAAGACTGGATGATACTGTTAAGAAACAAAGTTTATTTTTCTCACTAGAAGACAAGATAGAGGAAAAATATCTTGCCATTAATGGTAAAATATAATTTGTCTGTTAGAATCAATTTTCTTTACCTACTTCTCAGATGTGGACTTTAATGTCATTTTTTAAAGGCTCAGGCCATTAAAACAGCCCATTTCTAATCAATTTGATTGCAATTTTCAAAACCAACATAACTGTAATTAAAAAGTTAACAGTGTTCAAACTACTCTTGATGATGAAGGAATTAGACCACTGCCGTCTTAGCCAGGTCATGACCAGTTTCAGCCTCAATATGTATGGGCCCTTGTTAAGAGGGGTGAGGGAGTCAGAACTGCCACCCCCACCAGAAGCCCAAGATTTAGCAGCCCTTGTGAAAACAATGAGCCCTAGCAGGTAAACACACGGAGGTTGTCTACCCAGTGGTCAAAGGTCACAAAGCAACCCTGACTTAGACACCCACTATCTCTGTAAAGCTTGTAAGCGGCAGTACCGCTGTAGTCTAGTGCCAAATGGTCCCTCTCAGGTTTTAACCCCATTGAGCCTGTCCTCTACAGTGGACCTCGTCTTCCTTCCTTTCTTCTGAATAAATTATTTACAAAAAATAAAATACTATTTTTCAATATTAAAAAAATATTTAATGTCTAGAGAGGTCTGGTGTGCCTCTTTCGTTTTGTTTCATTTTGCTGTCTCCTAATTGATTTATTTTTTTTTTAACGTACAAAATGTGTTTATGTGCATGGTGCCTTGTAAAATGGCTAAATGGAGCTAAGGAACACATGCATGACCTCACATGCTTATAGTCTTGCTCTTAATCAAAAGATCAGTGACCAAAAATCAACAAGGAATTCCAGCCCCAGTGCTTAAAAAGCGCCTTTCCCCTGGAGTGGACAAATACTGAGAGACAGCTTTCTGGGCTCCGTCTTATAGGGCCTGCAGTAGAGGAAATGAAGAAGGGATGGATACAAATTCCCAGACAAAAGACAAGACAGCAGGGCCCTTTGGCCACATGTCTCATGCAAGCACCCACTCACCAGGAGCCCTGACCACCCATGTATTGGCGAGACCCAGCACAGGCATCGGCATCACCACCCTCTGGATCTGCACAACCGCCGTCAGTCCCTAGACAGAGGGGCAGGAGCCACAGTCACATACCTTGCGCCCAGGGATACAGTTATACCTACCTGAAGTCGCATGTTGGGCCCCACTTTGGGAAACACAGTGTATTATCTTTACCTGAGATTTAGGCTTAATACTTAAATACTAGGCTAATCACTGTGATAGAATTTCAACTCTTGCAGTGGGGGAAATGCTAGAACAAATCAGGGAGTCAACAGCCAGCAGGGTGAGGGCAGTGTGTAGAGGTGGACCTGAGCAGATGAGGGAGAACTAGCAAGTTACTCGGAGAAGGAAGACTTTTCAAGGGGGCTGTGGTGGGGGTGTGACTTGTCTCCCAAAGATTCTTGTGCAGGAATTTTGCTTTAATGCGGCCATGTGGAAGGCGGGGGAACCTTCAAGAGGTGGGGATTAGTGCCAGGTAGTTTTGGTACTGAGGATGCTGTCTTTGGAAGGGATTAATGTAGTTCTCACAGGTCCCCAGTTAGCTCCCACGAGAGTGGGCTGTGCTACAAGATCTAGTGGAACACCTGAATCTATCTCTGCCGCCTCATCATGCAATCTCTCCCTCTCCCTCTCAGTCCTACCATGGTGCCATTACCACAAAGCACTCATCAGAGACCAAGCAGATGGAGCCATCTGACCTTGCACTTTCAGCTTCTACAACTGTGAACTAAAACATGAACTTGTTTCCTGTGAATTAAACCCAGGGCCTTCATGCTGAGCTATACCTAAAGCCCTTTTGTTTTGTTTTTTATATTGAGACAGGGATTCACTGCTACTACATTGCCCAGAGTGGGCTCGAACTTGCAATCCTCTTGCCGTAGCCGCCAAGTGTGCTGGGATTATAGGTGTGCACCTCCATGCCCAGCCATCTCTTTTCTTTATAAAGTACCCAGCCACAGGTATTTTGCAACAGAAAATGGACTAATACCCTGGAGAAAGATATGAACTCTCCTTCACTGGCAGTTGCTCCCTGAAGAAAGATGGCTGACCACCTAACTGTCTCTAAGGAATCTCTCTGGCCTCCATGCCCAAGGTGGGGCCCAGGAGCTGTGAGGCGCAGGCCCTGAGCAGAAAACAGACAGTGGCTCTGGGCAGGCTGGCAGTGGTAGAGATGGGAGGAGCGGCAGAGGTGGGTTACACTGTGGAAGTGAACCTGACAGACACGGCAGCAGGAACAGCATGTGCAGAAGTCCCTGGGGGAAGATGACAGGGTGGGAGCAGATAGGCAGAGGCCCCTTCTGCTCAGGGCACAGCTTAGGATTTGACGAAGTGTCCTTCCCTGTGCTGTCCCTGCCTCGCCAGCCAAGAGGGCTGCACCAGCCTGGACACTCCTCACCCAGCCTCAGCTCAAGGGACCCACATATTCCTTCATGGGTTGAGAAGGGCGGAAGGAGAAAGGGAAGAGGAAAAGTCAACGAAGGAAGCCAGGGCCCAGGTGCTTGTGCTCCCTGAGAACCTTGTCTGTCCCTGACCCCCGATGCTTCCTCCCAGAAGCCAGGTGGCCTCAGCTGTCAGATGACTGTGATGAGGCTCCACGGTATGCAGCATGGCTCAGAAGAGCTGGCTGAAGGTTCAGCCCAGTAGCAGATGTGTGACCCTCAGGCTATAGAAATTGGTAACGAAGTTATGGTCTCTGGAATTAATGTAGGACTCTACTCCCAGCTCCAAAGCTAGATTTACAGGCAGTGTGCCTTCAAGGCCACACTGCTCAGCTTCTCCATGTGTGTCCCCTGTGCCTGCACAGCATGCCCGGGGCCTGCCTGCTTTTCCCGGACCTCGGTATCATTTGGTGCATGTAACTCCAGCACCCCACCCCGGGCTGCATGGGGAGATCTGCGGAAGGCACTGAACCTGTGCTGTGAGGAGAGCACTCACAGGACCTGCAGAGGATTCCCAGGCTCTCGTGCCTCACCCTCCTTCCTCTCTGCACGTGATGCATCTGGTGATCCACAGATACAGGGGGATAGAGCCAGATGTCCAGCATCTGTTTATTCGGGTCTTTGCTCAACAAGCACTAGCTGAAGACTCTGTGATGACACACAGCACACGCTGTGACAGGGTTCGCTACATTGGCCTGTTCAGGTAAGGTCCCTTCAGTCCAGCAGCTCTAATAAAACAATGCTGGCCTCAAGGTATAAAAATCCACGTGTCTTCTTCCCAGCGGCTATTGGAGGAGATTCTTAACCAAGATCAGAGGGTAAACTTAGGATGAGGAGGAACCAGGGGCAGGAGACGTCTGCTACTCTAGTGTCTGCTGGAGCCAGGCAGGAGCCAGGCAGGAGCCAGGGATTCAGCTGCTCTGGAGCCCACAGTGGGATGTGCATGGCTGAGGCTTCATACTCTGGAAGGTTTTGTTCCTATCAAGGCAACACAGCATGGTTCTACAAACAGCCCAGGCTGCTCCAGCCCATGGAGAGGCTGTGCATCTCTGACTTTCTGATACAGACACAGGTCCATGACACATGAGAGGCACAGACTAAGGGAGCCCAGAGGAGCCCACCAGCTCTGGGAAAGCAGGCCCCACTCAGGGAAGAGGCCAGGCTCTGTGTCTCACTCCACCCAATCAATCCCTCACCCTGACTTATGCAATCCTCAAGAATGAGAACCAAAGCTGGGCACAGTGGTGCATGCCCATTATCTCAGCACTTGGGAGGCTGAAGCAGAAGGATCTCTGGAAGTCTGAGGCCAGTCAAGGCTATAAAACTAGACTGAACTACACAGAAAGATCCTGTCTAAAAAAAAAAGAAGAGGAATGGGAACCTAAACCCTGGAAGGGCCTGTTGCTTAAGAGAGAAGCTCAGGGCCAATGGCAGGATGGACAGAACTCAGTGTGCATTTCTTCATGCAGAGTAACGTGCAGGAGGTCCCAAGGGCTTTTCCATACTAAAAGGGCTTCTTACAGGAAGGGTCCTGAAGGATCCCCAGCAACTTTCCCACTCTTTACAAAGCAGCTGCTTTCTTGCTGGGTCTCTCAATCAGCTCCAGGGTGTCAGCCTCCAGATGTCCTTCCTGCCCTAGATAAAGTCATCAGTGCCTTTTCTCTAGGCCCAGATTGCTCTTGACAAGGGGTGAATGACAGCAAAAAGCTTACCATTCCAGGGTCGGTGTCCAGGGGTCCTCCCTGACAGGAGCACATTCCTAGCATTTTAAGGTGTACCTTGGTCAGACACCTTGAGTTCTCACACTTGAGTACATCACTTCCTCTACCATAGGACTTTTTTCTATTCATAATTTCCTATCTAGTAGAATTGTCCTTATCATTGTTGAGAAGTAAATCACATTTGACCTGCTCAGTGTCTGACTCATACTGATGGAAATGTATCATTGAGGGAACCTTCTAGAAAGAATCCTGAGTGACAGCTCAGATACTGCTGCCCATTGAGAAGCCCCTGCCTCTAATAGCTCCCTGGAATTGAACAGAAGACACAAAAACAAATTCACCAACATACAGCCATCTGATTTTTTTAAAAAGGGCCCAATATATATGCTAGAGAAAACACAGCCTCCTTAACAAGTGCTTGGCAAACTGGATATCCAAGTGCAGAAGATTGAAATTAGATCTCTATCTTTCACCTGGTCCTAAAATCAAATCAAAATGGTTCAAAGACCTACACATAAACTTTGAAACTGCTGAAAGGAAACAGGAGAAACACTTGAAGCCAAAGCCTTCCTGAACAGGACCCCAGTAGCACAGGAAATAATAGTGAAAATCAACAAATGGGACTACATTAAATTAAAAACCTGCACAGCAAAGGGAACAATCAACACTGAAGAAACAACCTAAAGAATGAGAAAGAAAATCTTTGCCACTTACCCTTCTGATAGAAAATATCTAAATTACATTTTTAAAATCTCAAAAAACTTAACTCTAAGAAAAATAATCAGTAAAGGGGCAAATGAACTGAATAGACATCTCAAAAAAGGAGCACAAATGGCCAATAAGTAAATAAAAACCTGTTCAACATTTTCAGTCACTATGGAAATCCAAATCAAAACTACACTGAGATTCCATCTCACGCATTCAGGATGGCTATCATCAAGAGTACAGCCAGAAGTGGTAACTAATGCCTATAATTCCAGCTGTCTGGGAGATAGAAGTAGGAGGATTATAATTTCTGTTTTGGGCAACTTAAATGCCAGCAAGGAAGCAGCAGTAAAGGAACCCTCCTATACTATCGGTGTAATATAAACTAATACAACCATTATGGAAATCAGTATAAAGATCTTCAGAAAACTAAAAATACCAATACCATATGATCCATCAATGTCACTCTTTGGGATATTCCTAGGAGAATTAAAGATAGCATACTACAGGGATACATGCATACTCATTTTACTGTTCCACAAGTCCCAAGATTAAGGTCAACATAAAAAAAAATCTTACAAATATCTATCTCTCTCTCTCTCTCTATATATATATATATATATATATATAAAACATACATATACATAGATAAAAACGTGATATACATACACAATGCAATATTACTCAGCCATAAAGAAGAACAAAATTATGTCATTTGCAGGAAAGTGAATGAAAGTGGAAAGCACCATTTAAGCAAAATAAGCCAGAAAGAAAATCAGGCAAATAAGACTCAGAAAATTAAATATCACATGCTTTTTCTTATATGAACAATCTAAAATTAAGTATATAAAATAAGGGAGAATGACAAGAAACTAGAAGATAGGCTGGGCAAAGGCTGAAGAGAGGAAAGGGAGAAAGGAGCTGAAAATAATCAAAATATGTCATATGCATGTGCCAAAATATCAAAACCAACTTCACTCTTCTGTATTACTAATGTACACTAACAGAAACCAGCACAAGGTTCTCGTGCTGTATTTATTGTACACAGATGCCTCAACTTCTCTGAAGTAGGGGCTGAAGATAATTCCAGAGGGCTCACCATGTGCATGTTGCTGGATGATGGGTTTTCCAAACTCTCCAGCAGAGAAGCCAGCTCTTTGGCTTTGAGTTGAGATTCCCAATCTAAAATGAATTAGAGAAATTACCTTTCAGAAAGAATAGTACAACTGAAATGATACATAAAGCTACTCCTGTACATGCACCCATGAGGGATAGGCTCCAGGTCCCCCCATCAGATACCAAAAGCCACAAATGTCCAAATTCTTTATATAAAGAGTACAATATTTGTACAGAACCTCTGTACATCCTCCTGTGGACTTTAAGTCATTTCTACATGATTTATAATAACAGTGTACATGCTATGCAAACAGCTGTTATATGTTATTGTTTAGGGAATGAAGTCCAAGAAAATGAAAAAGATTCTTACATGTTCAGTACAGCACTGTTTTTCCAAATATTTTCAACTCGTGGTTAAGTCTGTAGAAGCCGTGGATATGGAGAACTAACTGCATTTTACACATATGTGTGTGTACACTGTGTATGTATATAGTCAAATGTATGTGCATGTGTGTGTTTGTGTGTATATACACATAAGTAATTATTTATAGGATTTTTTTTTATATTGACTTTAATCTTGGGAAGATACCAAAAGGGAAGAAGACATCCATGAATAGCACTTTGGGAGGAATTTAGCAAAGAACAAGGTGGAAATGCAAAGAGATTTCCTAGCTAAAGATTTCATGAGGATTAATATCAAATTTCCAGAAAAAGGGATGTTATCAGAAAAACAAGAAGCAACTAGTCAAAGAACACACATAAATGTTAAGTTTAAAGGAGAATTGGACAGAAAGTACAGGTGAGAACATGGATGTTGATCCACCATGGTAGGAAATGTAAAATGGTGCCCCTGATTTGCAAAGCAGTCTGACAGCTCCCTGAAAAGTTAAAAACTAGACAGGCTATGTGTCCCAGCAGTCCCACACCTCAGTGTATAACAAACACAATTAAAAATCTGTTCACACAAAACCTGGGCCACAAACGCTCACAGCGGGATTATTTGTAACAGCTGTGCCATGGGTTGATGTGAGTTGAGTGTGTTCCCCAAGGTTCACGTGTCGGAAGTCTGGGTCCCTGTGTGGCAACACTGACGTAGGAGAACCTTAAGAGAGAGGGTCTCATGGAAGTTCATCAGGGCACAGGGGCTCCACACTCATGAGTGGAGTAGTGCTGGTCTCATGGGAATGAGCTCCCTCAAGAGCAGGCTGTACCAAAGCAAGGCCACCCTCCATGCCACCCACTTCTGCACACAGCATTTTTATTTCTGCTTCATCATGTTGTGAGGCTGCCAAGGAGGTTCTTGCCAGGACACCAGGGCCACACTGTTGGACTTCCCAGGCACTAGGACTATGAGGCAAACAAACATTTTTCTTTATACATTACCCAGAGTCAGGTATTTTGCAATAGTAACATAAGATTTACTAAGACAAGGCAAAAAGTGGAAGCAGTGTAATGTCCACCACCTGACAAGTGAATAAACAAAACATGGCATTCCATACAATGGAATCTTGTTCTGTCTTAAAAAAGGTATGAAGCCCTGATTCATGCTGTATCACAGATGAATCTTGAAAATAATACAGTAAGTGAAAGAAGACACATACCAAAAAGCCACTTATTATATAGTATATTCCATTTACGTGAAGGGTCCAGAATAGGCAAATCCAGAGACAGAAAAGGCTGTCACTCCTTGATACTCCTTGGTTGTGGGACGGAGTAGCTGCTAATGGAGACAAGATTTCTTTTTGGGTGATTTAAACGTTCTGAAATTAGGGAGAGGTAATGGTTGCATAGCTTTGTGAACATACTAAAAGCTACTGGATAATACACTTTAAAAGCAGGACTGTTACAGTATGTGAATTATATATCTATCTTTTAAGAAGTAAATTTTACTGAGACCAAAGTATGAGAGGATAGGAAGGGAAGGGAAGGAAAGAAAGGGGAAGAGAAGAAAGAAGGAGAAAGAGAGAGAAGTGAAGACAAAAAGGAAGCTAGAGGAACTTGAGAAACCTCACCCCAAACAGTCTCAGGCTTCCCTTACAATAAAGGGCTTTTTCAAATGCTCCTAGAGTCAGAGTTCCCAGGACATGCCCCTAACAAGCTGGGTCCTGACATGTGCAACCTGCCTAGTCCTCACCTGCACCTGTGGCCAGGACAGTCCTTCATTCTGCTGTCCTTGACTCTGCATCTGGCCCCAACCATGAGTCCACATAGAGTTTGCATAGCAGGGTCCCTGTTCACGGAGAAAGAACCTGTGCTGAGGGCCAGAGTGCTTGCCGAGGCAAGTTAACCCAGGCCCAGTTTTAATATGGCCTTCGGAGGTGAAGAGGAGCAAGAGGGTAGCAAGGGGATTCTGCCCCACTGTTAACAAACTCAGTAGAGTTCTTTCACAAGAATCCTGCTATGGCTGGAACATAGTTTGAGTGTGTAACCCAAAGGTGGGTGCTGGCAATCTGGTCTTCAGTGTTATAGACCAAATGCAGTGTTGGGAGGCAGTGGAACCTTTAAGACACAGGGGCCAGTGTAAGGCGGCAAACTCATGGGGTAGGGGGAGCTGCTATCCTTGGAAGGAATTAACATGGATCTCAGAAGATTTTGGTTAGTTCCCACAAGAGCATGTTCTTCTTATAAAGAGAACAAGCCTGGGCCCCACATAGCTCTGCTTTCTGTTCTCACCATGTGATCTCATCTGCATGCAATCCCACCATGGCGATGCCACCCACTATAAGGCCCTAACTAGAAGCAGAACAGATCAGGCTGCCTGATCTTGGATTTTTCAAGCCTCCAAACTGGAAGTTAAATGCACCTCTCTTCTTTATAATGTACCCAGCCTTGGGTATTCTGTTATAGTAGCAGAAAATGAACTACCCCTGACCCAAAACAAAAATACCTCCTCTCTGCCAAAGGGGCTGAGGCTCTCTAATCCCTGAGGGCAACCTCAATGAGACCCATACCGGTCCTCACTGCAGAAAGACTGAAGTCAATGCAATGGATGGGGCTTTGTGACTCTATGAAAGCAATGGACACAGCCAAAACCACATGTGTTTTGATTAAAGTCATATTTGGCACATGTACTGTGCAATGCCAGTGTCACCCATGCAGGCCAGGGTCCTGTGTTTGCTCAGGATCACAGATCTGCACAGGCTCCTCTGAACAACATCCAGCAATGCCCACTTCTGGAGGAGCCCCACAGCCACATCCTCCAAGGTGACAGAGTCCTAAAAAAGGAGCACATGCTCTCATTCAGCAAAGACCATCCCAACACTGTGAAGGACAGCTGGTTATCACTGGGGACATAAGACCCTGTGCAAAGACATGCAAGAGGACAGCAGATCCAACCTACTATCTGCTCTTTAAACAGACTTATTTTTTGAACCAGGTGGAGGAGCACACAACACTACTGAGGAGGCAGGAGGATCACAAGTCCAACCCAGGCAACTTAGCAAGACTGTGTCTCAAATAAAAATAAAAAAGGGCTGAAGATGTAGCTCAGTGGTATACTTGCTTCAAGCCCTCGGGTCCAACCCCACTGCCAAAAAATAATTTAAAATATTTTTGGCATACAGCCGCATCCATTTGTCAACATATCATCTATTGCTATTTCTGTGCTACAATAGACACAGCAGTGATCATACACCCTACCAATCCAGAAATACTTACTTTTCACATTTGCATACATCCTAAAGTATAAATTTTGGCTCTTTTTGTAACTCCACTGACAGTGCAGCCTAGGACAATTTTCCTTAATTCCTCATTTATAGCATCACCAATCTTAGCTTGACCTTTTAAATTTTGTGAAATCCCTAAGATCCTTCCCAAAACTTATATATACTATGCTATGGTTTGGTTCTGGATGTCCTCGCAAAGCCTCATGTAGTCATGAAGCAGGCTTCCAGAGTTTATGATTCATTCATGAGTGTGAGTGCTACACCCACCCTGGGGCAGATGGTTTGCATATCTAAGGGAGAGAAAGGGGCTGCTTGCCTCCACTCTTCCCCTTTGCTCTTGCTGCTTTTGCTGTCTTCCACCACCATGAAGGTTTACCCTCTGCCATGTGCCACTCTGCCTTGGAGCCAGCTGAGTATGGACTGAAACCTCCACAGACTGTGAGCTAAATAAACCTTTCCTTCCTTAATTTTGGGTGTCAGGTATTTTGTCTCAGCAAAGAGAGATAAGTAACCAAGACACACTACTTTCCCCTAATCTGCAGAAGGTGCATTCCAAGACCCCCAAGTAGATGCCTGATACCAGTCAGTATCAAACCTCACTCTCTAAACATCTCCTTGTGCTATACTCACCCTTCTTCCTGTTGACCATGGGTGACTGAAACCACAGAAAGAAAAACCAGACACAACATGTCCACTGTAAGCATCTATTGATCTTTTATACCTATTAAAATAAAGGACTCCCACTGCATCTGAGAAACTTTATGGTCTTTAAATTTCCAAATTCTCTCAAGCTGTGTTCTCCATCCCACCTCTCCATGATAATGGGAATATTCTGCCTGTGCTTTCCCAAAAGGGAGCCATCAGCAGGTGTGACTGCTGAGACAGAGAAACATGGCTAAGATGACTGATAAACTGAGCCTTTAATTTCATAGAATGCTAATTTAAATTTATATTTATACAGCCACTGGTATTTTTAGTAGGACTCATGGGGATGGCAGGGATGGCTCTGGAGGAGTCCTGCTATGCAGGCACAGTCTTGAGGTCTGCAGTGGGACCTTCCTCTAAGAGCAGTTCCCTCTACAAGTCATAACAGACAGATGTCCTCACGTCCCCACAGGCAGCAATGAGGATGCTCCACACTCCTCTCCCCTCTCTCCCTCAGTCAGGGGAACGAGTGAGAGATAACAGAGCCCCAAGTACACAGTTATCTGCCTCAGACCCCAGTACTCAGGTCCTCCCCAACGTCCTTACCATGTCATAAGTGTCAGGATTCAAGGTCTCAGAAGATGCTCTCCCTGCAATACAAGAGATTGAGGTAGGAGAAGGGGTGAGGGTGAAGCAACACCAGGCCAGGCTATTCCTTTTTGTGAGCCTCCAGCAGGACGGCCAAGCTAACAACATTTACACAAAATTTATTTCAATAAGCAACCTAGTGAGCTCTAAGCCACCTTTCAGACAATAGACCATGAAGATTTCTATTGGTTCCTCTCACCTCATAAAAAGATCATTTTTCCTTTTGTATTCCCCAACTACTTCTAACATCCTCTACTTTTCTTCTAGTGCCCTTTTTTTTTTTAAAGTTATGATTTATCTTTTTTTTTTTTTTTTTGGTGACCTCATCTTGCGCTCTCCGATTACAATATAAATCTGGTAAGTACAGACCTGTGCCTACTTTTTTCAGAACTTCATATCCAGCCACCAGCACACCGCCTGATGAATACCAAGTACTTTATATACTCTGGGTTGACAAACTTTTTCTCCAAAAGACCAGATAACAAATGTCTTACCATTTATAGGCTATATGATCTCTGTCACCTCTACTTAACTATATGATGGTAGTGCCCAAACAGCCACAAACTACACATAAACAATGGATTCCAATAAAACTATGTAAGGCAATAATGGACCAAATCTGGCTCACAGGCCATCAACTGCTGACCCCTGCTCACATGCTAAACAAAATGCTTCAGTCATCAAAGTCTCTCAATTCTACCACCATCTACACACATCTCAAATATTCTAGCTTTTCTGATTTCACAATAATTAATCTGTCTACCATCTTGCAAGTCCTGAATTTACTGAATCTCCCATATGGGCTCTGCATTCATTTTTGTCCATCCTAAATTCTATGTTCATGCCCTAAGAGGCCCCATGGGCCATGCCCTGAATGCAAAGGTGACCACTGGAGATCGGTCTGCCCTCTGAAGTGGAGGCCCCAGAGCTCAGACCCATGCTACCAGTTAGTCCATCAGGAATGAGAGGGCCCGGGGCATACTCTGCCTTCTCCCTCTGGCCAGACCCTCATCTCCATGGAGGAGCCCAGGGTAATCATGACTATGGAGAAACAAGAAAACAGCCTATTGCTAGACACAGGTGAAAGTCTCTTGGTCCTTCTTTTCAATCCTGGCCTTCCTTCCAGCCATCACACCTCCGTGACAGGAGTCACTGGTGAGGAGGTAATATGCTATTTTTCACAACCCTTAGGCTGTAACTACTTGTTAGATCCTTCTTACGTATCTCTGTCTTCCTGAGAAACCACTTTGAAGATACCACCATGTATTACAGCAGCCATTGATATTTTCCTACTAATCTATCCATAACTCTGTAATGTTTGTATTGTTCCTATCCTATTTCTTAAATGGATGCATGTCTATTATTATATGTTTCCTACAACAACCACTGAGAAAAGTTAATGATTATTCAACTGGTCACTCATGTATAGCTCTATTTATTTTCTTTAGAAGCCACTTTGAAGATACCATAGTACAACAACTATTGATAATCTCCTATCTCTTTTGTCTGTAACTCACTATTTTTTGTCTGTTTTCCTGAGAAACTATCTTGTAGATAACAATATGTAAAACAATAACCATTGATAATTTCCTACCACTTTGCCTGTAATTTGGTAAGACCCCCCATTATTATGTTATCCTTCTTTTACTCTTTAAAATAAATAAATAAATAAATAAATTCTATGTTCAATCTAGAAGTAGTGTTTTGTTTAAATTCCAAAAATAATCACATCACTCCTGTCCTTAAAACTCTGATACAGGGGTTTCCCAATGACTTTGCAATACAGTGCAAAGCTTATGATGACCTTCAGTACCCTGCTCTCCTATCCAACCTAGCTCATCCACTTGCTTTGTTTTCTCTAAGTTAGGTTTTCCTGTCTTTTCTCAGCTACTGGAATGCACCAGGCTTTGCACTGCCTGAGGGACCCTGTGTGTGAAATGTTCTCTCAAATCTCCTCTAAAACTATTGTACAGCCAAACCCCTTGGTTAGCTACCTACAACTCATCCTTCAGGTTCAAACATTTGTCTCTTTTCAGGAATTTTCCTTGACCTCTTCAAATTATCCTGCTCCACAGTCTCATATCACCCTTGTCAGTATTAATTTAGAGTCCCTCTTCCCTGCTAGAACAAACAACCACAGGGGCAAGCACTCTATGTATTTCAGCTACACTGTTTCCCCCTATCCAAGGCCCAGTTCATTGAAGGCACCCCAATGAAAATGTGCCCCAAAATCAATAGTCCTCAAGAATAATTCAGTACACCAAATCTAAGAATGCATATGCCTACACACACACACACACAATTACAAAAACCAAATATAAGAATGACTTAAAATATCTGCTCATCGTATAGCATAAATCACAACAGATTTCAGGTGTCTTTAGGAAATAATGCTACTATTTCTAAAAAGGCAAGAATGTACTCCTTTTAAACACAAACATCTCATCCTTAGAACTAGAACCTGATCTTTAATTTTCCTCCAGTTAACTTTGGCTCATACCTCAGTAGAAGTGAGCTTCAACCCTTTATTAAAAAGACATTCCATTTATGACCAACCCAATTTCCATTTCTGGCATTATATCACCCTTTTCCTAGAGTCCCATATGTTTTGCAGATTTGTGGTTCACGAGTTTGGAGTAAGGATGGAGCCACATTGAAAAGAACTAAGTAGTATCATTTTTCCTTGATAATAACATTTGTGGCCTGGGCAAGGTCGTTTCTTAAAATAGCCTCACACTATAATTAAAAAAAAAAAAAAATCCCGAAGCAAAAGTTGATGCACATAGCCAAAGTAAAAGCTACAAACTTAAAAAGTTCACTTAAATAAAAAGGAATGGGAAAGAGAACAGAAGCAAAGCAAACAGTTCTTAAGCTTAAGAATCGCAAATTGTCACCAAAAAAAAAAAAAATCTATATGGACATAGATATACCGGATCGTCCAGTTCATCCCTTCAGTTTTTAAAATAAATTTGACAAACCGCGCAAATCAATTTGCACATGTAGACCCTGCCCTAACTTTCAAGCTGCAAAGCGAGGAAATATTATTAAATACCGTATGAAACCTGACAGGCAGGGCAGTGCCTCTGCCGCGCACTTTTCCTACACATCAGGGAGCACCAGTGAGGACTGAGGCTCGGTGTCACCGCATTCCATAGCTGTAGCGCCCGGACTGGAATTTGGGGCTTCCCTTCCGACAGGACGGCAACGCGGTCCCCTGGACTCGGGAGCGAGCGACCCAGCAAGGGGCGCCCAACAGCGAAGCCGACCTGCGCGGGCCGCTCCCGGGGACCAGGATGACCTCGGGGAAGCAGCACCTCCGCCCAGGTCAGAGTCGTCCTCTGCCAGGCACTCCCCGCCTTCTGGAAGCGAATCACCCCCACCACCCGGGCAGAGGAGCCCCACACTGCCACGGCCGCCCGCCGCACCGCGCACTTCCGCTTCCGGTCTCGGGGTCCCCCCGGGAGCGGAAGTGGTCAGGACCTGGGCTCGCGGGTCTAGAGTGGCCATTACGCAAAGGTGGAAGGATTGACTCACTTTCTCGTCCAGTGTTGGAGGAGAAATTGTAGTTTCCCTTCACGTGGGGTCGAAGCCAGGGCGGGGCCTCGAACTGCAGGGACTGTGGAGCTGCAACGGGCCTACGTTCTATGAGCTGAATTTAGGTCTGGTGGGCGGGGGATACATAGGAGTTCGTGCCCTGGAGGGTGGAGACGAGGCTGCGCTGGGCGGGCGGCGTTGTTCTGGGGGCGGGGCTTGCTGGCAAGCGAGGAGTGCTGGATAGTTAACTTCTCCTGACCCACGTTTCTGAGTTTTGTTCCATTGGCTTAATTCAAGTCTCTACAAAGGGAATTACCCTTTGTACGTACGTATACCTATACCTAAGGTGCACATACCTGTACCTCAGGTGGTTGTTTTTTAGTCTAATTTAAATTAAAAATAGGAGTATATGTTTTATCCTGCAGCTTCTTTTACCAAAAATAAGTTATACAAATCTATTCAAAATAATACATTTGCCAGGCATGGTGGCTCACGCCTGTAATCCCAGCACGCTGGAAGCTGAGGCAGGAGGATCGTTGTCAGTTTGAGACCAGCCTCGGGTACAAAGTGAGCTCAAGGCCAATCTGAACGGCATACTGAGATCCTGTCTCAAAAAAGACAAAAAATAAAAATAAAAGATAATACATAGGTCTCTCTTTTTCTTTTGTTGTTTCGTTTTGTTTTGTTTTTAAGGTAGGGTCTTTCTATGTAGCCCAGGCTGGCCTCGAACTGGCAGCAGTCAACCTGCCTCTGTCTCCCCAGTGCTGGATTATAAGTATGCACCACCAAAAATAACAAAATGTATTTGTTATGTCAGTATATCGGAATGGACAATTCTTATTCCATCCCTAAGTTTTTCCCCTTAGAAATAATTGTTGTTCCCAAGTCACTAATAATCCATTATACATCAAGCACATGGAGGACACTGAGTAATACACTGGATAAAGATTAAGGGTATATTGCGTTATTGTCCCAGCAATAGACAAAACAAAGAAACAGCAAAACTCAAAAACAGACTCAGGCATAAATGGACATCTAGTATGTGTTAGTATGTTTCAGTGGGACAAGTAACCTGTTGGAAAAACTGGCTGAAGGATTGTTAGATTCCGACTTCACATTGTTCACAGAAAAAAATCCCAGATAGATTATAAATCCAAACATTAACAAAAAGCTTTAGAATATTAGAAGAAAATATTCCTAAAATTTTTCTTTGTATATTGCAGAGATAGGATATGAACTGAATAGTATAATGGTTAAGAGTCCTGGGTTTTGGTTCTTACTAGTCAACCAATGAACGACCTAGCCTCTCCATGCCTCAGCTTCCTAAAATGATGACTGAGTGCAATAATAATAGTGAAATGAAGACAGTAATGGACTTATACTAAGGACTGAATAACATAATGCATGCCTGTAAAGCATTCATTGTGTCTGACAGGTAATAAATGCTAAATAAACATAGGATATTGTCGTTTTTTGAGGAGGTAACCAAATGTCAGTAATTTGTTTTTTTATAATCCCCTCTCCCCTAGTTAAAATTGTCCTTGAAATTTGGGGTTCTGTCACTGTTTGATTTGGTCTGGTTTGGTTTTGAAGTGTTTTGCAGAGTTAGGGATGACACCGAGGACCTTTCTCATGCTAGGCAAGTGCTTTATCACTAAGCTACATCCTTAGCCTTGGCCTTTAATTTTATTTAATCAGTATCTAAATATTGCCATACCAGCTTCTTGTTCTTTATCTGATATCGCTCTTATTTTTAATCTCATCGTTTGTTTTAAGTTATGTCTTATACCCAGTCCAGCTGGATTTTGGTTTTTAGCAAAGCCTAAAGGTAACTTTCTCCTAACAGAGGAATTTAATTAACTTTTTTTTAATGTGATGACCGATATGTGTAATGTACTTTTGCCACTTTATTTTACATTTATGTTTTGTATTCGTTGTGTTTATTCAGTCTATGCTGAGTAAGCCAGTTCTCTCTACTCTTGTTGTCAATTTGCTTACCCTTTTCTCCAGTATGTTCATTGGGATACATATAAGGTCTTGTCAAAATTAACCTAAAACTGTTATTTAGCATTGTTTCCTGAGTATTGGTTACACTCTTTAGGAAGTGTGATAAAACATGCAATGACTGTCTAAATTTTTAAAAATTGCTGCAGTAAAAGGCACATTGCTATTCATCCCCTTTAAAATACTCAGCCTCACTTCAAACACCCTTAACGCATCATTCTTGCCACTTTCTAAAGCAGTCTGGAAGTCCTCTTTCATGTCTTTAGTTGTGCTGTTGTGGTCTCCTCAGTGTTCTGAGTAAATTGAAAACGTTTACCTTTCATGGTCATTTCACTTTGGGAGAAAACTGTGAGTCAAATGCTGGCAGATGCAGTGAATAAGGTAGATAAAGACACACTAAAATGTTTTGATTCGATAGAAATCAATATAAACATTTTGAATTGATTCAGGACCATAAGGCAACCATGCAAAGATGTCATGAAAGATGACTTCCAGAATAGCTTTAAAAAGTGGCAAGAAGGATGGGATAAGTGTGTTCAAACAGAAAGGGCATTAATAGCAAAGTTTCTTTTACTGTAATAACTTTTTTTTTAAAAGAATAAAAGAAGGATAACATAATAATAGGGGGCACTTAGCAAATTACAGTCAAAATGGTAGGAAATTATCAATGGTTATCGTTTTACATATTATTGTCTACAAAATAGTTTCTCAGGAAAACAAATAGACAAATAATAGTGAGTTACAGACAAAAGAGGTAGGAGATTATCAAGAGTTGTTGTACTATACTTTGATATCTTCAAAGTGGCTTCTAAAGAAAATAAATAGAGCTATACATGAGTGACCTATTGAAAAATCATTAACTATTCTCAATGGTTGTTGTAGGAAACACATAATAATAAACATACATCCATTTATGAAATAGGATAGGAACATTACAAACTTTACACAGTTATGGATAGATTAGTAGGAAAATATCAATGGCTGCTGTAATACGTGGTGGTATCTTCAGAGTGGTTTCTCAGGAAGACAGAGATATGCAAGAGGGACCTATTAAGTAGTTACAGCCTAAGGGTTGTCAAAAATAGCATATTACCTCCTCACCAGTGACTCCTTTCACTGAGGTATGATGGCTGGAAGGAAGGCCAGGATTGAAAAGAAGGACCGAGAGACTTGCACCTGTGTCTAGCAACAGGCTGTTTTCTTGTTCTTCCATAGTCATGATTACCCAGGGCTCCTCGATGGAGATGACAGTCTGGCCAGAGGGAGAAGGCAGACCATGCCCCAAGCCCTCTCATTCCTGTTGGACTAACTGGTAGCATGGGTCTGAGCTCTGGGGCCTCCACCTCAGAGGGCAGACCGATCTCCAGTGGTCTCCTTTGCATCCAGGGCATGGCCCATGGGGCTTCTTAGGGCAGTTCCTCTTGAGGTGGCCTGGCTTTTAACAGTGGTAGCAGATGAATGCAGTTGTCGAGTTCTTCTTGGAGCCCCGGGAATCAGACCTGGGATCTGTTTCTCTTAGTGGTGCAGCAAAAGCAGCTGCTTTTTCTCAGTCTCTTTGTTTTCTCTCCTTGGCCTCCTCCTCATCATGGCTATAGAATACTGAGGAGGCAATTCTTACTAACATCTCAAGTGAGCTATCTGGGGCAAAAGCCATTCTTTGTAGCTTTTTCTCTCCAGCTTCCCATTGCTTTGGGACCCCACAACCAGTTAGTGTCCTCTCCCCAACTGTCAGCACAGTCAGCAGGAATCCTGCTGCAGACTTCTCCGGAGCTACTTTTTATTTTTTATTTAAACATTTCTCATACTTTTTGGTCATGTGTTATATTTTGTATTTATATTTTTAAATCATCCATATTAGTTATACCATATTGTGAATTGTAGAAAAACAGGAAGATAATGTCTTCTATTATATGTGTTCCAAAATTTAACAATAGTCTATTCAATACATATATTTGATCTGGAAACTCATGTTTTTCAGCTGGAGGAAATTATGTTATTTTCTTAGTTAGTTCCCCCCTCTCTGTGTTTCTGTGTTTTCCTTTCTTTCTGAAATTCCTCAAATTCTTTGTCTTAGGGTTGCCTTTCTTGGGAGATTGTCAACACTTTATAACTAACCCTTCTGTTCAATTTTTATTTTGACTGACATAATTTTAATTACATCTCTTTTTTAAAAAATTTGGGCTGGGGATATAGCTCAGCGGTGCAGCACCTACCTGGCAAGCACAAGGTTCTGAGTTCGATTCCCAGTACCAAAAGAAAAAAGGGTAATGAGAATCCCCACCCTGGATGTAGGTGGCACCATTAAGCTTGTAACCTGAATGAATAAAAGAGGAAATGGCAGGCAGGTTGCTTCTGCTTAGGGCTCACTACTTTCTGCCTGCCACATCATGGACTGTCTCTCCTCTGCCATCCAACCTTGCCTTGGAGCCATCTGACTATGTCCTGGAACCTCTGTAAACTGTGAACTGAAATAAGCCTTTCCTCCTTTAACTTGTGGGTGTTAGGCATTTTCTCCCAGCAATGAGAAAGTAACCAAGACAGAGGTCCTGACTCTTTCAGGAAAATACTTAGAAGAGGTACAGCTGGGTCAAATGGAATTACTATTTTTAGTTTTTTTTACAATTCTCCGTACTGATTTTCATAGTGCTTGTACTAGTTTACATTCCCATCACAATGGAGAAAGGTTCTTTTTCCCCACAACCATGTTAACTTTTGCAGTTCCTTTGGGTTCTTGATGATACCCATTCTTTCCGAGGTAAGATGGAATCTCAGAATTGTTTTGATTTGCATCTCCCTAATGGCCAAAGATGCAGAACATTTTTTCATGTACCTGTTAGCCATTCATGCTTCTTTAGAGGTGTATCTACTTGCCTGTTTTTTATTGGGTCATTTATTTGGGGAGCTCTAATTTTGTTAAACTCTTTATATATTCTAGATATTAGTCCTCTGAGAACTAGCTGGTAAAAAATTTTTCCTATTCTGTAGGTTGTCTGTTCTCTCTGTTGGTTGTTTCTTTTCCTACACAGAAGCTTCTTACTTTGATAAAAGAAAAAAAAACCCTTTTTTGATTTTTGGTGTTGTTTCTTGTGGAGTTCGTGTTCTGTACAGAAGTTTTTACCTATGCCTGTGTCTTCAAGAGTTTTACCTATTTTATCTTCAAGAAGATTCAGTGTTGCTGTTTTTAAATCCATTGACCTTTGATCTATTTTTACTAGGTTTTGGTATAGGGTGGGAGATGTGGGTCTAGATTCATCCTTTTGTGTGTAGATAATCGGTTTTCCGGAGGGGAAAAAAAAAAAAAAAAAAAAAAAAAAAAAAAAAAAGGGGCTGGGGATTTAGCTCAGCGGCAAAGCGCCTGCCTGGCAAGCGCAAGGTCATAAGTTTGGTTCCCGGTACTGGAGAAAAACCAAAAAAAAAAAAAAAAATCAGTTTTCCCAGCACCAGCTGTTAATGGGCTATCTTTCCTCCATTATGTTTTTGGCCCCTTTGTCAAAAATCAGATGACTGAAAGTACCTGGGGTCATTTCTGCATCTTCCATTCTGTTCTGTTGATTTACATATCTGTTTTGTGCCGGTACTATGCAGTTTTCATCACTGTAGCCTTATAATATAACTTAAAATTTAGGATTGAAATGCTTTTTTTTAAAAAAAAAGAAATTTTTCCTGCTTTTGTTCTTTTGGGCCTCTGAATTTTGCAACTTTTTTTTCTAGTTCTCTGAAGAATGCTGTTGGTCTTTTTATAGAGATTGTATTAAATCTATGTATAATTTTTGGGAATATGGGTAGTTTGACAATATTATTTCTCCCTATCTAAAAACTTGGGTATCTTTCCATTTTGTGATATTCTCTTCAATCCTTTCTTTTTTTTCAGAGTCCTAAAATTTTCATAATATAGATCTTTCACTTCTTTGGTTAACCTAACCAAATTCCTAGGTATTGAATTTTTCTGAAACTATTGTGAATGGGATTATTTTCCTGATTTCTTTTTTCTTGAGTTCACTGATGGTGTAGAGGAACGCTATTGATTTTTCTGTATTTATTTTGTAACCTGCTACTTTGCTGAATTTGTTTATTGGTCCTAAGAATCTTTTGATGAAGTTTTTTAGGTCTTCTATGTAAAGTATCATGTCCTCTGCAAATAATGACAGTATGATTTCTTCCTTTTCTCTTTAAATCCCTTTTATTTCTTTCTCTTAACTGATTACTCTGGCTAAATTTCTCTTTTTTAACTTTATTATTTTTTAATTAATTAAGTTTATTGGTACATTTAGTGTACATAGTTATCAAATTCATCATAAGGAACTTGTACCTGTACATGATATATCTTGATTCTTCTTTTTTCCCATTCCCCTCCTCTCCCTTCAACACCACTTCCCCTCCTTATTTACAAAAACTGTTTCCTTTTTTCCCCTTCTAGTCTAGTTTTTTCCTTTTCCCTTCCTTCTTTCCCCCTCCCCACACCCTAGTTCCCCTTCTCATTTAAACATTTTCTTTCTGTTTCACAATATCTATTATACATTTCCATCCTTATTTACTCTTTCAGTTTCTCACACCAGAGAAACAATGTGATATTTACACATGAGTGCCCCATTTATTTCACATAAGAGTATGGTTTAGGAGCCAAGTGTGGTGGCACATGCCTGTAATCCCAGCACTCAGAAGGCTGAGGCAGGAGGATTGCTGTTAGTTCAAGGCCAGTCTGAACTGCATAGCGAGACCCTGTCTGAAAAAGACAAAAAAAAAAGTATGGTCTCAAGGT